CTGACATCTTGTAGAAACGGCCCGCTCACTCATGCATCACATGAATGTTCCCAAACCCTTTTGGAGTGATGCAATGCTCACCTCTTGTTTCTTAATTAATCGGATGTCCACGTCTATTCTTGATGGTCGTTCTCCTTTGAGTGTCTTGTTCCCCAACATGTCTCCGTTTCCGCTTCCTCCTCGGGTATTTGGGTGTGTTTGCTTTGTCCATAATCTGGGTCCCGGGACTGACAAGTTAGATGCACAATCCCTTAAGTGTATCTTCCTTGGCTATTCCCGGACTCGGAAAGGGTACAAGTGTTACCATCCCAGTTCTCGTCGTTCTTTGGTATGTGCTGATGTTACTTTCTTCGAGTCTACTCCGTTCTTCGTGGGGTTCGGTGATGCTGGTTTCTCCACATCACCTCCTCCTCTTCCCCTTCCTGTGGCTAATTCTCCTCCTCTGGTTCCAGTCGTGCCTACGTTTTTGCCTCCGGTGCCACCGTCCGTTGACCGTCCACCTATCCGTCACGTGTATACACATCGCCCACGTGTACTAGATGCGCCTCCTCCGGCTTCATCACCGTCGACAGATCCAACACCAGCCTCCAACTTTGATCTCCCTATTGCCTTACGGAAAGGTAAACGCACCTACACCCTTCATCCTATTTCCAATTTTGTTTCCCTTACTCACTTCTCCGCCTCCCATCGCCAGTTCATCTCCTTGTTATCCTCAGTGGTTGTTCCTAAGGATGTCCAGGAAGCCCTTACCTCTTCAGAGTGGTGCCGTGCTATGGAAGAAGCGCTCTCTACCCTCCATCATAATCACACTTGGGACCTCACCGCTCTTCCTCCTGGGAAGCAGGCTGTCGGTTGTAAGTGGGTGTATACCGTTAAGTACTTGCCAGATGGTTGGGTTGAGTGCCTGAAGGTGCGGCTGGTTGCAAAAGGGTACTCCCAAACCTATGGCATTGACTACACAGAGACATTCTCCCCGGTTGCTAAGATAGGGTCCGTTCGTGTTGTCATCTCCCTGGCAGCTATGTATGATTGGCTTCTACATCAACTAGATATCAAAAATGCCTTTTTGCCTGGTGGTTTGCTCGAGGAGGTCTACATGGAGCAACCACCAGGGTTTGTTGCTCAGGGGGAGGATGGTAAGGTATGCAGACTTGAGAAGGCTATATATGGACTTAAACAGTCCCCTCGAGCATGGTTTGGTAGGTTCAGTGAGGTGGTCAAGAAGTTTGGTATGAAACAGTGCCAAGTTGATCA